AGAATTTTGCACGCCCAAAGAAAAACAGCCATGGTTTAAAAACAAAATATTGGACTTAGATGCATACGACATAAAACTCTTTAACAGAATCGCAACTGGACACACGTACGGTAGCACTTATCTAACCAAATTTCAGCATTACAGATCAGACAATTGCAGCGCATGCAACATAAAAGAAACTCCTGAACACCTCATATTTGATTGTATCAAATATAACAACTTACGTAACGATAATTCTCTTTTCCGAAAAAAAAGGTAATATAAAAGAAGAAAAAAAAAACAAAATAAGAAATTTAGAAAAAAAAAAATTAACTTATAAAGTATTAAAATATACAAAAATATTGTACGTTTTATACAAATGAGATAAAATATACTCAACTGATGAGTTTCACATACCAGTTATATATCAAGTTATAACATTCGTTTAAACCAATGTACTCAATCTGTCAATATATGTTTGTGTTTTCAGTCTTGGTGTATTGTCTTATGTAGTCTTGTGTCGTCCTTAAATCTCATAAAATAAGAATGAGGAAATGGCACAACGCCGAAACCGGTTTGTCTGCAAACCACACTTGACAAGGGATGACGGAAATTCGTTCCAAAATAAATGAGGAAAGTAGCTGTTACGCTAACATCAGCCAGAAAGAAGCAACATCAAGGAGTCGTATAATAAAAGACTCTTCAACGAGGAATTTCAACAAAACACGTCGATATATGATAAATGGAAGCAACATTGTCCAGCAGTTTAGCCGAAGGATCATAACTAACCAAACAATCGTTCGCAGATAGACTTGTGTTATGCTAAAGGAAGCTGTAATCCACAGCGTTTGGGACAAATAGCAGTTTGACTTAGAAAAGAAACACAAATGGTATTAGACTACGATTACCACTGAATACATCACGTTTTAAAGAACCGGCTATTTAAGGTGTATAAACCTAGCCATAAATGGAACTGTCGATTGGTTCCTAAAGCCTAAAAAAAAAAAAACAAAACAAAGTTAAATAGTGAAATCTATTGAACGCAGTATTTTCATGGTGTTAGGGTCGATGGTAACAACAAATTGTGTTGTCACGCGCATCCAGACGCACCACTAATTGAGGACTATCGGGCTGGAGACATGATATGTTCGGATTGTGGGCTTGTAGTTGGTGACCGCGTCATTGATGTGGGATCTGAATTGTGTACATTTAGTAATGAGAAAAGCGGAGTTGATCCCAGTCGCGTTGGTGGGGCGGAAAATCCATTGCTGGGTGGCAGGGATTTATCTACTATAATTGGACCTGGGACCGGGTCCGCTTCTTACGATTCTTTTGGCGCACCAAAATATCAAAATAGGCGCACAATGAGCACTTCCGACAGGTCACTGATTTCAGCTTTTAAAGACCATAGTGGATCGTGCGAATAATCTTTTCAAACAGGTATGTTATGAATATGTATGTACCAATACACCCCG